CATCACGTTTGTGATTCCCACTGTACCATCGATGTCTGAAGAAAGCATCGATGAAGAACTCATGTTCAGCGCGATAGTCTTTCGCGCTGGGGTCAAGGTGATGAATCCTCGACGAATCGAACAATCGTGTTCGATAACGATCACTCGTCGTCGCCGACAAGTGATCCATGACAGATTTAGGAGGCATCCATGCCTTCTTTTCTGGAGCGAGACGCAATACATTGCGGTCCCGCTCTTCCTGCGACGTGCCGACAGAAGTACTGGCACCTCGCTGTGAAGTGGTGTCCATTGGAGAACCGACACCACTGTTAGCGCCCGAGTCTAGCGACCTCGAGCGCCTTCGCTTCGGCGATGGTTCATCTGATTCATCAGATGAACCAAAGATGCTGCGACGCAAAGCATCGTCCATGCCACGCTTGGCAGGCGGCTTGGATTCGATCGCCGTCGATACGGATCCGTCTTCCGTATCAGGAGAGTATGAGACACCGAGCTCATACTCTGTGAAGACATGAGTGTCTTCATGACAAGCGCCTGCATCATCAGGTGACACAGGCTAAGTCGCTTCAGCAACCGATGAGACATCAGTTGCTGCGGTTTCTGCTTCGGCGTCCGCACAGAGACGTGCAGACGCGCTCTCGGCGGCCTTGCTCACGCACCGCATGGGCTTGTTAACCATGCGATGAACTGTTGGAAAGTGGACGCGGACCAACAAGTGCAAACCCTGTCCCAAATGATTTGGGACGAGTATCCATTTAGTCAATCAGTCACTAAAGTGACTGATGGTTAAGGGGGGTGATGTAACGGGGTGAATCGTTACATCACAATTTATAAAAAAATTGTTAATAGAATATAACTATGAGAGTTGTATTCTCAAAATATTGTCATAAGGACAAAATTCTGCAGCACTTACGAGTAGTTCCTAATTGGTTGATATAGGTCATTATATCAACCAACGAAGACACGCCACGACAGACGCACGCAATGAGTGGTGAGCAGATAGTTGACATGCATATTTGTATTTAGACATAGTTAGATGAGGATAAATAGTGATTTATTAACAGACATTAACTATGATAAATACAGTTCTACTTTTTAATTAAACTAAGTACTCGCTTCTTCTTACCGTCTTCCTCTGCACGTACCAGTGTACGTGAAGTCCCGAGGCACGGTCTTATTCTGTCGTCAGAATAAGTAGCTCGTACTGTCATCAGTACAAGCTTCACGGTGCCCCGTTACATGAGCGGTGGGAAGGAGACGTTTAAATCTTCAGTGCAGGTGCTAGTAGTCATTTCGCCTATCGGTCGGGTGTACAATTTTTTTTGGCAAAGATATGCATTGTTGATGCCACCTACGGCGAGAAAATCCGTCGATGCAACGCGCGCGAGATATCAAGCTTGTTGACTTTATTTTATATGCAAAATTGACGGTGAGTGCACGAGTACGTAGACTTGTAACATATTCGAATCAGCCGCTCTATTTACAGCTTACACGGGAAATTTTCGCTAGTTATTATGTACTCAGGATTGTCACTTGTGTACGCTTGCTGCTGTAGCGTGTTTCATATGGCGAAAAATCGAGTCAGAAACTGTGCTGATGGCCTGAGTATGGATGGGCTGCTTTACACAAGAATGACGCATGTTAGTAGCTGTAGAGCGATATATGGTTTAAGGCCGTGTTTGTGTCCATTCGAGTAAGGTCCAGTAATGAGCTTCGCGTGTCGAATAGTAACCTCTTTTAATCAAGATTGACTGGAGCTTGCATTCTTCCACTGTTACTCAAATACACCATAGATATCTTTGCCCGTAATTTTGGTGCATAATACACGTATGTCTGCTACTAACGTCCACATGACGTAATTGCTCTTATAGACGCGTGTATCATAATCATGCCCTAATGTCAGGTATTCCGTCGAGATAAATAAACAAAATAAGACATATGTACATATTTCTTTGGACATGCCCGTATACACATTCCGGTACACGCTGCAATTTTGTTCATTTCTTATAAATGATTTTTATTTTGTACTTTCGGCACCACCAATGGATTTTAACCGAGGGCGTCTTCCCAGCACTAAGCTCTTTTATCTTTGTGCATTATGGCTATACCCTATTGAGTGGGTGGCCTATTACAAGAACTTCTTTAAGATTCAGGAGTTGCTCTCAAGGATCTCGAGATACCAATCATGAAGTAAATCCATATCTGTCTTTACATCCGCAGGAATGTAGTACAGCCACCAGGTATGATCTATCAAATCTAGTGACATGGGTACATAGCTTTCTCAGACATTCTCATGCGCCCATGGGAGACCTACTACACTCGAAATGTTCCCCGGCATGCCGACAATCGTCCTTTTCCATCATTTTAGATGTCATAACCTGCTGTTATTCGATCGAACTTCATGCAAAACGGCTCACACATCCGACAAGGTGCTTAAAATTGGGATTGCTCTTAGATTATGGGGCTTTGACAACTTCTGAGCAGCTTCAGCTGCATATTACTCGTCTAATTGACGCTTGAGTCAATGAAAAGTTCTTTGTTGCACTGCAAACAGGTTTACTATGCTAACTTGTAGATCCCTTCTTAAGGCTGCATGTGCACCTTCAAAGGCAGATGTCGCCGTGCTGCAAAAGTGTTGACAATCTTTAATCCAAACTACTACGAGATTTCCCTTATGACGGAGCCATGTTCGTTTCAGATGCTGTATGAGCAATAAAATGCCAGCAATATTAGTGAACAATTCCATCTTTTTCGCTTTATTATCCACAAATGTTTGGGCGCGCCAAACTTTTTTTCATGCCTTCATAAACTATGCGTGACACTTATCATCCTTTACGTATTTCTTGAATCGAGCAAATACATTCTTTTCAATTTGCCGAACGCAGAGAAGATGACGCAAACTTGGAAAAACAAGAGTGATTTCAGCTATAAGTCCCCTATTTACGTCAGACACAATGAACGGTAGGAGCTTGCCACGATATAACTTTCCATGCTCATTTATAACCAAGCATAATTTCACTTCTCCTCACGACTGAGGAAAATAATAGAGATCGTAAAGGATGAATGGAGCGCAGTACGCCCATTCACATGCCACAACAGCATTCATAATTTGTTCGTGTTGTAGATGTAGGCCAGCAGTACGACTAAATTGAATCGTCTGGCAAGAAATATTGAACTGGGGTGCGCAGAACAAAGCCTCTCCTCATTACCGCTACTTTTGCACTAAACGGCATGCACGAACTGGCTCCGTTGAAGTTCATCTAAAAGTGCTTGAATTGGCTTGTGCCCAGCCAAATTTTCCAGACGGCGCTTGGACTTGGCGTTGTAAATACTTCTCACTACAGCCAGAGAGTTAGTGTCCTCTTAACGTAAACACGTCAAATATGACGGGTGGGAACTCCAGCAGATCTTAATCTGTGAGCAGTTGACTGCAAGTGCTTAGTCAATCTCCTACTGCTAGGATGTACTGCCATGTTTTATGACGGGTAGTGGTTACGATGTTCACCAGCAGATCTCCATTCTCTAAAGTCTCTGTTGTTTTGGCCAATAAGCTTCTACGGACAGCCTCTGCGACGGGTGGAGCTGCCGGGGAGCTTTTGTGCCGTGACCGCAGGTTCCAAAACTTACGGTTATGGCTCCCGAGATTGCAGCCCATTTGAACTTTGTTACGCTTGCTATCCGGTTGCTGGATGATGTACACGTAGCCGGATTCCAGATCATGATATTAGACGTGTGCTACAAGATCTTCGCGCTCGCCAAATGTGATGACAGGGAATCTACAGCACTTAGTACTCAAGAGTAGCCACCTCAGAGAAGTGTTGCTAACTCTTAACGATCTACGATCTGAGACGCCTCACAAGGCACGTGTCTTAGACAAGATCAAAAGGGAAACTAAACTTTATCTAAGTTTAGGGTATTTTCGAATACTTCCACTTCTCTCTGAATAACCCCCACGCATCGCACCTATCTCAAATTATAAACCATCGTGACCGATATTTTTCCACCATACCTCGGTACGTGCGCTGATGTTTGCTCTTCTACACTTAAGGTCATTACCTGAATTACCTACAACCACTTTCTCCTCGGCGAACCTCCGCAACGGGTCAAAAAGGAAGGAAATCTCAAAAAGTTTAGTTCTTTGGAAATGACGTAGCTCTTTGAGAACTAAGTGTTCCTCCGACTAATGGATTTGTGTAGCGCCGCTTCACGTCGAATTCAATACACTTAGAGACTCTACGAGATTTAAGCATTCTAGTGAAAAAAGCGTCAGGGTAGCTATGCTGCATAGGCTGTTGCTTCGTCCATGAATATGAAAAGCCAGTGTTTTAACCGAACACGAGCACTGCGACGCTGAAATTTAGGTACCTTCGCCGACAGTATCATATGTGTAGTCACCACATGTACGAGATGAAACATATAAAATCTGTGTAACGGGGCCCCCTGAAGCTTGTACTGATGACAGTACGAGCTACTTATTCTGACGACAGAATAAGGCCGTGCCTCGGGACTTCACGTACACTGGTACGTGCAGAGGAAGACGGTAAGAAGAAGCGAGTACTCAGTTTAATTAAAAAGTAGAACTGTATTTATCATAGTTAATGTCTGTTAATAAATCACTATTTATCCTCATCTAACTATGTCTAAATACAAATGTGTAAATCAGTTATCTGCTCACCACTCATTGCGTGCGTCTGTCGTGGCGTGTCTTCGTTGGTTGATATAATGGCCTATATCAACCAATTAGGAACTACTCGTAAGTGCTACAGAATATTTGTCCTTATGACAATATTTTGAGAATATAACTCTTATAGTTATATTCTATTAACAATTTTTTATAAATTGTTATGTAACGATTCACCCCGTTACATCACCCCCCCTTAACCATCAGTCACTTTAGTGACTGATTGACTAAATGGATACTCGTCCCAAATCATTTGGGACAGGGTTTGCACTTGTTGGTCCGCGTCCACTTTCCAACAGTTCATCGCATGGTTAACAAGCCCATGCGGTGCGTGAGCAAGGCCGCCGAGAGCGCGTCTGCACGTCTCTGTGCGGACGCCGAAGCAGAAACCGCAGCAACTGATGTCTCATCGGTTGCTGAAGCGACTTAGCCTGTGTCACCTGATGATGCAGGCGCTCGTCATGAAGACACTCATGTCTTCACAGAGTATGAGCTCGGTGTCTCATACTCTCCCGATACGGAAGATGGATCTGTATTGACGGCGATCGAAACCAAGCCGCCTGCCAAGCGTGGCATGGATGATGCTATGCGTCGTAGCATCTTTGGTTCATCTGATGAATCAGATGAACCATCGCCGAAGCGAAGGCGCTCGAGGTCGCTAGACTCGGGCGCTCACATTGGTGTCGGTTCTCCAATGGACACCACTTCGCAACGAGGTGCCAGTAGTTCTGTCGGCACGTCGCAAGAAGAGCGGGGCCGCAGTGTGTTGCGCCTCGCTCCCGAGAAGAAGGCATGGATGCCTCCAAAATCCGTCATGGATCACTTGTCGGCGACGACGAGTGATCGCTATCGAACACGATTGTTCGATTCGTCAAGGATCCATCGCCTTGACCCCAGCGCGAAAGACTATCGCGCTGAACATGTGGTAACTCGATCGTGTATGCATTGCCTAGGCGATGAAATACACGAAATGGGCCGATGTACTTGGGCAGAAGTTTACTACTACCCAAGTTAGTCACTACATGTCGTGGTAGATTAATCGTAGACAGTAGGACTAAGTCACCTTTATTAAATAAATGAGTGTTTGCCCTTCCATTCTTCTCTGCGTTTTGCTTTTGCTTATCCACCGCTTCGGCGATGGAGTCTTGCACGAAACGGACTACCGTTTCACGAGCCAGTATGAATTTATTTGATAACTTGTTAGCTTCAGTACGATGTGAGTGCACTGCAGCAACATCAATATTTTCTTCAGTGAGGGCTTCCACGCTCTCACTGGCATCATCTTCTTCGATATCGATGTTATCGATATCGGCATCAAACCGAATGACCTCTTCTTCAGAGCGTGATGAGCGTGAACCAAATCGGTTTTTGCTCGCGCGAGTCCCCCCCACCTTAAACCAGAGTTACACTCTAGTAAGGTGGGTACACGCGGATGGCGTAAGCCATTCTCGTAAAACGGTGTATGTGTCGTGGACGCATGCACCGAGTTGTTAATGGCAAACTCTACCATTGGCAAGAACTCACTCCAACTCTTAAAGGAGTGTACGTATCCTCGAAGTATCTCTTCTAGGACACGATTGGCTCGTTCCGTCTGACCATCTGACTCTGGATGATCAGATGTAGACATCTTCAAGCGCGTTCCGAGTGATTTGAACACGGAACGCCAGAAATCAGCAGTGAATCGTGGATCTCTGTCTGATACGAGTTCACGGGGCAACCCATGAAGTCGGAAGATGGTGTGTCGATAAAGACACAAGCACAGCCACTTGCTGTGATTGACTCTGGTACAGCCACAAGGTGTACCATTTTGCTGAATCTGTCAACAAATACGAGAATACCCGTATTCCCGCGTCCGTCTTTGGGTAACCCGAAGCGAAATCCATTGAGATGGATTTCCAGCACTCTGCCGTAACCGGTAGAGGCTGTAAAGGTGCACGCAGTGAAGGACTTGACTTCACTCGTTGACAGACTTCTCATGCGCGAACATACTTGCGCACAAACTGATACTGGCGGGGCCAGTAAAAGTCTTGACTCACCGTGAGATATGTTTTCTCACGGCCACGATGTCCTCCTATAGGAGCATCGTGATACTCGAACATGATCCGCAAACGCAGATCAGTATCATCTGGAATGACAACACGTGGTGTGTCACCAGTAACGGCTGTATAATACAGTAAACCGTTACGAGTAGTGTATCGATCTGATGCAGATCGATACGCAGACGATAATCGTTTCAACGATTATCGAGATGGTTGTGAGAGATGTGTCAACAACTTCACAATCTCACCGTCTTGGGCATACGCCCGCCTCACATCATCATGTAATGTTGAAGATGGTACTGAGAACGTCATAACCGCAACAGTGGCTGTCTCGCTGTTGGGTTTCACGACTGATTCAAAGTCGGGCCGACGTGAGAGTGCATCAGCGACAACATTAAGTCGTCCTGGTTTGTACTCTACCCTAAAGTTGTATTCTGCAAAGAATGACAACCACCGCGCCATTCGTTGTGAAAGGTGCGGGCTGTTTACTGCCGTGCGTAATGACGCATGGTCAGTGTAAACAATGAAGGGTCTATCTCCTAATAGATAGACTTTGAACTTCGCGAGTACATACTTCATGGCAAGGAGTTCCTTGTCATGCACTGGATAGTTCCTCTCAGCTGGTTGCAGCTGACGCGACTGATAGCAGACGACGCATTCAACGCCTTCAAGATCGGACTGCAATAATGCACAGCCGATTGCGAAATCGCTGGCATCACAGACCACATGAAATGGCCTGTCCTGATCGGCAATTGCTAGGACTAGGGATTGTATCAAGCTATGCTTGATACCATCAAAGGAGCGCTGACATTCAGCGTTCCATAACCACCTCTTGTTCATTTTCAACAAACGAAAGAGGTGTACAGTCATCTCGGCGTAATTGCGTGAATACTTGTGCAAATACGCCGCTAGCCCGAGGAATTTTCGAAGACCTTTGACATCAACCGGCACAGGCCAGTCGGTGATCGCCTTGATCTTTTCGGGATCAGGACGTACACCGTTCTCACCAACGATGCACCCAAGAAGAGGTATTTCGCTTGCTGCAAATATACACTTCTTGAGGTTTGCATACAATTGATGCTTTCGCATGATTGTAAGAACCTGTCGGACGTAGTATCTGTGAACCTCAACGTCCGACTTTCCATCCATAGCCCGACTATGGATGAATACGACATCGAAATAACTCGGCGCGAATTCTCGTACTGGCCTCAACAGATGTGATACACATCTGTTGAACGTGGCAGGGGCATTAATAAGCCCTTGTGGCATTACTAGCCATTCCCAGAGCATGCCGCTAGACGTGCTCACTGCGGTATAGGGTACATCCCGTTCTCACATAAGGATTTAATAGAATCCATCCATCAAATGGACGAAAAGATGGCACTCTTTGACATACCATCAATGGTTACGTCCTTCCTCGGTATCGGCGTCTGAGCCGGTACCGTTGCAGCATTCAACTTGTTAAATGCATGCACAATCCGCCACCCTCCTGTTACTTTTCACACACAGAAGGTCGGAGAGCTATGTGGGGAAGTTGATTCCCTCACATGGCCCGCAGCTAAACGATCGGCAAAGAACTTGTCGATCGCAAGTACTTGTTCACGAGGCAGTGGCCACTGCTTCATGACACAGTACTTCAAGCCTGGTTTGAGCTCGACCTCGTGTCGAAAACCTTTATCCTTCGGTAATTCGCACGGAACAGTTTCAGGGAATACATCCTTGAATTCAACCAAATCTTCATAGAGAGGATTTGTCTTGAGCGATTCCCACGATTGGGAGTCATATCGCTCAACTCGTGTCTTTTCATCGAGGACGCTCTCGTCCATCGATGAACTACTGAGAACTCTCTCGTTCTCAGTAAACATTGTTGATAATCTTATGTCGGCTACACACTCGTCGTCAGCGACGAGTACGCAGATCTGCTTGACTTTGCCACTACGCAGATCACGCAAGAACCTTTTATGTTCGAGCGTTGGTAACTGAGTGATCTCCGAAGTCAACTTCGGAGGCGCAATCAGATCAAGTGTATAAGCGCCTACACTTGATCCGTTATTGACTAGGACATTCAATGTCTCTGTCATTTCCTCGGGGGGTTTATTCCCTCAGGCCTCGAAGGACTTATTCCTTCGTCTTCCCGGGGACTTATTCCCGCGGGTTTCGGGGAACTTATTTCCGCCGTATTTGTAATCTTGGGACTTATTCCCTTTATTTCCTCTAGCTGGGGTTGCGCAACCACAGCGAGATCCTCTACGAAAGACTCTCCAGTCGATCTAGGATTATCGTTTCGCTTAACCTGAGCGATAAATGGTTTCTCTTCTAGATGTTCCCCGCTAGGAATACATCTTTCTCCCGGTCCACTCGACTTATTCGAGTGGTGGACCTTCGGCGCGGCCTTTGTTTCCTCACAGCCGCCGGAAGCTTGCTCCGAAGTGTAACCGTTTGTTACACTAGGGTTTCGTGCAGTCGTACTAACGACCGTACCACAAGTGAGGCCATCGCACTCACTCGTAGTACATCCACACGCTTGTGGACGCTCCCAAACCGTTCATCAGATGGCCATCTGATGAACAAGCGGCAGACATCGTTACTGTTCGATGGTGCCAGTTTACCCGTGGTTCGTACCTTCTGAGCCACGGTATTCCAAGGATGACATCAAATTTGTCATCCAAATCCAATGCGATTAATTCATCGTCATATTGGGTATCTTCTAGCGTATAGTGAATCTTCACTATACGCTTCATGACTGGTTACGGATGCGCCTGTCGCAAGACGTACCTTCATCCTCGTAGGAGGTGTGTCACATTCACTGAATTTAAAGTGACCATCTTCTAGCGGTTGGCGTTGCACAAAATTATTGGACGCCCCACAATCGACTAGAGCTCGAAGGGACAACTTACTTTTCACTTCGAGTTTCAAGGTAATGAGTGGGATCTCATTACCTAGAGCAGCAACGCACAATGATTGTTTGTTGGGAGCAACCTTCATCAAGAGGCCTACAAACTCTCTTGACGTTGCTGAAACAGTAGGGTGCTCTGCACCTACTAATCCTGTCCGTTTTTTTACGGTCCATCCCGTTGTTGCGTCTTTGCACCAACAGTGGACCCGCGTCCCTGCCCCTTTCTCATGGGTGGACGGTCACTACGCCCAGTGTTGCGAGACACTGGACGAGGGGCACTACACTCGTAAGCGTAGTGTCCTGTCTTTTGACATCTGTTGCATATCTGCAACTTCTTGTAGTCTGTAGGGCGAGCCTTTTCGCTCTCTACATAACAGAGTTCCATCGGCTCTGGACCTCCGCTGTCATATTGTCGCGGTGTACGATATTATGTCGAGCTGGCGCGAGCCTGTCTCAGACTGAAGTCTTCCTGTTCCGCAATGGAAATGGTTTGTTCTAGTGAATCTAGCTCAAGTCGGAACACGTGAGTCTTGACGGGACCATCCGCAAGACCCTGCATGAACACCGAAACCAACGTGCGTTCATCAACCGGGTTGGAACTTATACAACTCGTGAGATGTCGTATATGTTGTGCGTAAGCGTGCACATCACGCTTACCTTGTTTGAGCTTCAAGAGTTCAGTTCGAGCTCTGAACTCAGCTCTAGGCGGTTCAAACGTTTGTCTGATCCGCGACTTGAAGACTTCTAACGACCCAAACGCATATGGGTCGTGCAACTTGAGTCCCAAAGCCCAAGTCTTGGCACGTCCTGCCAGATTTGATTGGGCAAATTTAACTTGCATTTCCCCATCGTCGATGCGACGTGCCCTTATGGCGTCATCCAATTCGACGAACCTCTTAAGAGGGAGTCCTCTTTGACTCCCCTATACTTGGAGATGTCAATCTTCAAGGTCTCGGGTCGACGCGAGTGCATCGACCCACCAGCAGCAGCCTGCTGCTGTCTCAACAGCTCAAACTGTTGAGCACCCTGTTCTCTCAACAACTCTGATTGTTGAGAACCTTGTTGGTGAAGCAAGGCTACTTTCTCGCGTTGAGCGTCAAGTTCACTTTGAATGAACTTGGCGATAGTAGCATGTTAGGCATCTCTATTGAGAGCCTCTAGCATGGCGCTAACAGCATGGATGCCCATGGTTGAACCCATCCGTTCAACCGCATCCCATTCGACATCGCTCAAATGGGATTAGCCGTCATGCGTAGCGTGAAAGCTTTGGTCATCTTCATCATCTAACATATTCATTTTAGATGTGAACGTGGTCCTTGGACGGACTACGAAGTGCTACCAGGTGTAACGGGGCACCCTCAAGTTTGTACTGGTGACAGTACAAGCTACTTATTCTGACGACAGAATAAGGCGGTGTTTCGGAACTTCACGTACACTGGTACGTGCAGAGGAAGACGGTAAGAAGAAGCGAGTACTTAGTTTGATTAAAAAGTAGAACTGTATTTATCATAGTTAATGTCTGTTAATAAATCACTATTTATCCTCATCTAACTATGTCTGAGTACAAATATGCATGTCAACTATCTGCTCACCACTCATTGCGTGCGTCTGTCGTGGCGTGTCTTCGTTGGTTGATATAATGACCTGTATCAACCAATTAGGAACTACTCGTAAGTGCTGCAGAATATTTGTCCTTATGACAATATTTTGAGAATGTAACTCTCATAGTTATATTCTATTAACAATTTTTTAAAATTGTTATATAAACGGTTCACCCCGTCACAGATACGGCTTAAATAGACAATGTGACATTTGTGGCGACCCATTGAAATGACTGGGGAAAAAGAAAGACCTTTTATTGTTGTGGAAACATCGCAGTGAGTACACAACAGTAGCTAGTCCTTTTCATCAGTCTTCGCTTCCTCCTGCTCTGTTGACTCATTTTCATCGTCCGCGGGTGGGTATTCTTCAGCTTCGAGTGTCTCCAACAGCTGCTGGAGCTGCGCTTTGTGGGCCTCTTTTGCTTCGTTGTTCACCACGTCGCTTCCACTTTTCGTCCTTGTCTCGTCACTATCTTTTTTAGCGTCTTCATCGGCCACCAGAAGTCCTAATTGATTGCGCAAGGTAGCTGCCAAGCTCGCACTATCAATACTGCGTTCGTGGAACTTGATCATTACGTAGGCCCGTAGTTTCTTTGAGAAGTGACACAGATGTGCCACAACGAATGCGATGCGCTCCAATACGAACAAACCGGCATCGAGACGTCGCAAGTAACGACTCTCTTCATCCTCTCCTTCAGCTTCCATTTCGTCAACATGATTACTGCGTTCCACGCGTTCGTGATACTTTGCAAACAGATCCACCAACCGGTCAATTTTCTCCATATCGTTTTCGACAAACTTGCCATGAAGACGGTCATAGACATCAGCAGGAGCATCCTGACGCACCCAAGCACACATGGAAGCTATTATACTGACCACATTTTCTTCTTGAAGCGCACGCTCGTTTACCTTGTTTGATTTCGAGTTGCTGCACGACTTGTGCTTGCCGAGCCGTCCCATGAAGACTGAGAAAACGCTGCACAAGCCTCCGATCTCGATCATCCGTTCACAATTACGCGCGTTGCCCATGAGTGCGTGATCTAGACCACGCAATGCGCTACCAAAGACAAACTGTCGACGGTCTTTCATACAGCGCAGCAGCAGCTCCAATCCTTCCAGATGGCGAAACTGTGTCTGTGCTTCCGATACAAGCAGCGCGCTGCACAGAGCATTCACTAGATTCCCTACCATTTCCTCTTCTTCATCACTAGCCGGATTTTTCTTCCGGTACGGGGAAATTGCTTGCAGTAAGTCATCCACGAGATTCACTGACCGATTCTGTCGGTTCTTGTCAGTCTCCGTCTCTTCCTTTCGTCGTTCCTTCCTAGACCATGCTGCAAACTCCGCTCTGGGCTCGGCTCCTGACTGCAGCAAAATGGACAATATCTCACTCGCATACAGCTTGTTTTCACTAAATTCTCTCGTCGGCACTACTTGTTGCAACAGAAACGGCAGTACTTCCGTTTTCACCGCCACCTCAACACATACGTGGGGCTCGAGGTCGATCAGATTCTCCAAAATCTGCAAGGAATGGTACATTCCCAAAGTCTCTTCCTCTGCTTTCTGACCGTCTTTCTCTACATCATCAGCTGCCGCAGCTAATCGAAACAAGTTATTGATCAGCAACGGCAGCAGCTTCTCGTCCACAAGATGGTGGGCGAGCTCTCTCGCTGACCCCAGTGACTCTACAGCGTCGTCCACCTCCGTCAGCTCCGCCAATAGACTTAACACAGCAAGCTGAATGTCTGCATTTTCATGTCCAAACAGTCCCAGTAAAACGCGAGGCACCTGTAGTTCCATCATGACGCCGAACAGCTCGGGTTTGGCAGCTACCTGTTGCCAGCGCTTCAGCTGGAGATCCAGTGCCAACTCCGACTCAAGAAACTTGAGCGGCTCATCTGCGTGCTTCTCGCGGTCCAATGCATTACGCTGTACTTGTTTTAGTAGTGAATTGGCCATCGACTTGAGCGATCGGGCGTCCAGGGTGTCGCCTTCCTGTTCTTCAGCACCATCGACAACAGCGCTAATTTGTGCGGCGATAGCTCTAGGAGACACACGCGGTTGTTTAGCAGCTAAAGGTGCGAGCGTAGAGGCAGCGGGCCGCTTGGCAGCGACGGGCGCGGCGAGCACTCGCTCAAAGTGGCTCTCCATTCGTCAAAAATGGACGATGAACCAAATGGGGACGCAGTGAGTCACTTGTGGCGAGTTGTACGAGTAAAGAGACGATAAATCAGTAATGAAAAATAATAGATAATGCAAAAACATGAAATATATCACAAAAAATGGGAGAAGAAAAAGAATAAATCAAGATGAGCGTTTATTACCCACCGAATTTCGCTAACTACCCACCCCCTATATATTACTTCTTTACTTAATTTGACGCCTTCTGATTGGTAAGATCAAGCAAATTACCATTCTCAGAAGTAATTTACATTTAAATTTATTACGGATCGAATGCTAGATCTAAATATTCTGTGCATTTCTTGAAATCGGCGACGTGTGGTAATTTTACTGTGCGGCTACTTCCTCCACTATATACTGGAACTCGAGCAGCAAGTGGTGGTGGCAACCTACATTTAGGGACAATTCTTGACATAAATAAGTACAACTACTTGGCCCTATTGCAATTCGCTAGCGTTTAACCGCCGTACGGCACTTGTCAGATTCCAGCATGTTGAAGGAGAGTCCGAGACGTAAACATTGCAAGACTTTAGTGCACGAGTTATAAAAGGAAAATATGTTGTCAACAACGACAGAAGTACGTGTGTGTCGCTATTATGGCTCCCATCTGTGCTCCCCACGAAAATAAAACTTTGCGATAGTGCTCTGTTATGTGACTGGACGGCGTACATGGAAAGAAAGCGATGAAGTGGGTAAATGTTTGAAGCCAATGATGTAATATACCTCGATATGTGAGGTTGCTGTTGTATTAAAAGATGCAAGTAGCGTGTCTTTAACAAGATTAATATCGAGAGCGACGAGTGAAAATATTTACCTGCATTCAAGAGCAGGAGGTTGACAGGGCCACACCACTACGTGGCTTTTTTAGTAAGATTATTCCGCGATACGATGTTTCAATGATTGTGGCTGAAATCTTGACGAGCTGGAGGATGCAGGAGATCATATATCTGATATTGCGGTGTGTCACGTGAGTTTAATTAGAATGGAATTTCCTACGGTAACATATTTTTAATTCTACAACCAAAAGACGTTAGTGTAGTAAATAACGGTTATATACATTTTCTGACGGCGATAATCTCAAGTCGACCAATTAGAAAGCGTTAAATCACGTAAATTACGGTAATATATGGGGGGTGGTCAACAAAAACCTGGTGGACGGTTCACATCTCCCATAAACCAAATAGTTAACAGATCAAAAATATCCCGAGGCGTGTGACAGTACAGATTTTTACACCGGTTATGACTCCAAATCGCACTTTTGATCAATTGTGTACCGTCGTCGACTGATAAACCAGCACATTAAACAAGGATGGTTATCCAATTGATAAGTGACAAAGCGCCTCTCAGTACCTTACACCTCAAGGCCAACTTTTGCGGCGATGGATGGTGAGATAATTTTTGGCGTGAAAAAATCATTTTTGCCCCAACGCATTTTGGTTACCAAAGATAGGCAGGTCCATAAACAATGACTTTTTTGCTCTAATTTGTATCTAGGTACGTGTTCTTGACAGATAACAGCATTTTCTATTTGGTTGGAATACGACCCGAACAATCTATAATTGAGTCGAGGCGAGGGCTGACCAAGTTTTTCGTGTCGCGAATAAAGGGTATTTTATTTTTACATACATGTTGTATCATAAATCAGCTGACGGATGATGCGTAAATACCACATTCAACCGATTATATTATGTGCACAGGAAGTAACACGTTTCCATTGTCAAAACGGAGTTTTCCAATATGCTGTAAGCCATCAAAAGCTCGAACTTTTTTCGGCTTAAAAGGTCGGCCCTGGTTGTTACACAAGACACGATCCGTTTGTTGCATACCCAGATGTATTGCACGATGCTTTGTTAATTTTCGACAAGCTAAGCGACGCAGCATCACAAGTACAAAACTATTACGAAAGGAGAGGTCAGGCTGATGTCGTTTCCCGCTATTACTTCGATAATTAGCCGCCACTACACCACAAATTCTTTTTGTTGCGTCACGAATCGAGCTCTATATTGAGCAAAATGACCACTCTGTTGGGATACTTTGTATGTCTGATGCAGTTCGGAGGGTATCTGTGCCGAAGGTTTAACGAACACTTGAATGCTGCTGATAGGCGCGTTGTCACTAGCCAAATTGATGATTGCTCTTCAGTGTGCTGGTTTATCAGTCGACGACGATACACGAGCAACAAAATTCTGGCATGGAGTCGCAATTGGTACCAAATTCTGTAATACCATTCGTACAGCATAAGCCCAGTATAATTTTGGGTTTTGTTAAACACACCCACTTCTTTCTACTTATGATCCATACACCACACCTGTACCACACCATAATATGGTTGCACGACGAATATCGCGCCTACATCAGTACGACCACTTTCGCACAACAATCTGCATCTGTCGTACAAATGGTGAGTGGTTCACCAAGCAAACTTCCTTTAGCCCGCAATAGACGATTGAAGCTCTTTGCTTACGTAAACGGATTGACCAATAAACATGAAGCACTCGTCACTACATGTCGGATACATCTGGGATGCTATTTGGTTTTCAACAAATGGTGACAACCATGTTTCAGTCGAGAAAGGCACAAAAATTAATGAAACAATGGCTCACGTTTCACCAAACGTATCGAATACATGCGTCTTGGTTCCAACCTTACATCAATGAACGATGAATCGTATTATACAGCTATGCATAGTTTTGATCGAGCCTATCCTTTATCTGCGTAAGGACCAGGTCATTGTTGGTCAAACAAAAAAAGTGATTGTCCAGCAGCACGACGAGTAGCCATTCTCTGTAACGGGGCACCCTGAAGCTTGTACTGGTGACAGTACAAGCTACTTATTCTGATGACAGAATAAGGCGGTGCCTCGTAACTTCACGTACACTCGTACGTGCAGAGGAAGACGGTAAGAAGAAGCGAGTACTTGGTTTGAGTAAAAAGTAGAACTGTATTTATAATAGTTAATGTCTGCAATAAATCACTATTTATCTTCATCTAACTATGTCTAAATACAAATGTGTAAATCAGTTATCTGCTCACCACTCATTGCGTGCGTCTGTCGTGGCGCGTCTTCGTTGGTTGATATAATGGCCTATATCAACCAATTAGGAACTACTTGGAAGTGCTACAGAATATTGTCCTTATGACAATATTCTGAGAATATAACTCTTATAGTTATATTCTATTAACAATTTCTTATAAATTGTTATGTAACGATTCACCCCGTTACATCACCCCCCCTTAACCATCAGTCACTTTAGTGACTGATTGACTAAATGGATACTCGTCCCAAATCATTTGGGACGGGGTTTGCACTTGTTGGTCCGCGTCCACTTTCCAACATCTCATCGCATGGTAAACAAGCCCATGCGATGCGCGAGCAAGGCCGCCGAGAGCGCGTCTGCACGTCTCTGTGCGGACGCCGAAGCAGAAACTACAGCAACTGATGTCCCATCGGTTGCTGAATCGACTCAGCCTGTATCACCTGGTGATGCAGGCGCTGGTCATGAAGACACTCGTGTCTTCACAGAGTACGAGCTCGGTGTCTCGTACTCTCCTGATACGGATGACGGATCCGTATCGACGGCAATTGAATCCAAGCCGCCTGCCAAGCGTGGCATGGACGATGCTTTGCGTCGCAGCATCTTTGGTTCATCTGATGAGTCAGATGAACCATCGCCGAAGCGAAGGCGCTCGAGGTCGCGAGACTCGGGCGCTAATAGTGGTGTCGTTTCTCCAATGGACACCACTTCACAGCGAGGTGCCAGTACTTCTGTCGGCACGTTGCAGGAAGAGCGGGACCGCAATGTGTTGCGTCTCGCTCCAGAAAATAAGGCATGGATGCCTCCTAAATCTGTCATGGATCACTTGTCGGCGACGACGAGTGATCGTTATCGAACACGATTGTTCGATTCGTCGAGGATTCATCACCTTGACCCCAGCGCGAAAGACTATCGCGCTGAACATGAGTTCTTCATCGATGCTTTCTTCAGACATCGATGGTACAGTGGGAATCACAAACGTGATGGTCCCTCACTACTTCAGGCGTGGAACGCCTACATCCATAACCTCGAGGATGTAGGTCGTGACGCTTGGAACGACAAACTTATCAAAGCTCGTGATAAGTTTGAAAAGCGAACCCCGACAGGTGCACGCTACAAGCTGCATCGTCTGTCAAGGGAGAAAGGATTACCCTGCCTCTCTTGGGGAGACTCGTGCCCATGTTGTGTGAACAACTCTGCACGAGCACCTAAGGAGGCTTACCTCCTTACCAGCCCGTGGTGGCGCGTACGTGTCTCTACTGAGATGTACGAAGGGATTGACAACCTGAAATCCCTTTACGACCGTGCCGGGAAGACTTTCTCCGGCGGTCCTTCTGCGGCACAGGATGTGTCGCGTCGTACTGCTCGACCAGACCCAGTACGTCAACCATCAATTGGGAGCGGGGCTCCCAAGAATCCCAGGACGGGGGATAGCCGCGCCACCGGACGAGGTAACTCGTCCGACGTCCGTTCACGTCGCGGTGGTTCAACAGCTGCTCTACTAGATAGCGCTGGCCACCGCGAGAGTCCTCTAATGGAGGTGGAGGAGGAGGAAAGACGCTCTCCACACGATCATGTGGATCGGTGTGTTCCCGAGAGCTTCTTTGATCGCGTAACGCAAGGGTTACGCGACGATCTCGAGCATGAGCGGAATAGGTGTCTCCAGATGGTGGACACTGCCTCGAAGCATCGAGCTGAGTTTGCCTTTGCTCAGCTTGAGAACGAGAGATCTCTGACATCTCTTCGTGACGAGCTAAGGGTAGCTCGTGGGATTGTTGATCGGTCTCGGGCTGAGATAACTGCTCTTCAGACCCTTGTTGATGCCCACCATCGGGAGCACAAGGCTCTCTGCGAGATGCTTGAGCGCAAGGGCGTTCTTCATCGGAAGAAGCAGCGTACTGATGGTACGGCTTAAGCCGACCAACGTAAAACGTG